TGTACTAGAATATGCCAGCCCTGTCTGTTTCCTGTTTACCCACCAACAGATTAATAAAATAAAAGCGGTTCAAATCCAGATGATATATTTTTAACAAGTATAGACTGAATGACTAACTGACAAAGCTACTTTACAACACTGGCATTTCGACACTTCAAGACCGAAGGAAACCAGCAAGTCTAAAACTAATGTTTCAATTACTACACAACATATAAAAATAGATACTTCTAGGTATATATCTTTTTTTTTTTCACAGCAGACCAACCTGGCATAATCATTCTCATACTGTTGCGGAATACTCTTTCAACACCAATTGCTTTTCCTCGAGTCATTAAAAATTGAAACGCACTGAAACCTACCCTAACCACTGAATTATCCATAAGCTTGTGTACAGCAGCGATTGAAAGCGAACTGCTTACTTCACAAATCACTCTAAAGACATTACAACATCAATAAACCCGATAAGCGAAGAGTCTGTATTATGTTATTGATATAGAATATTTGTTTTCTATGATCATATATTTTAGGTGACATGTTCTTCGATCAACTTATTGTTCCTAAATTATTTGAAAAAATCGTTCAGTAATTATGTCTACTTGTTGACTTATGTCGTTTTAAAATGTATACCTTATATCTCAACAATGTATACCTCATGCTTTTCTATGTGCTTTTGGCTCTTATATTGTCTATGTTTTGTTAGTAAAACCGTTTGATTGTCAGTTCTTAATATCGCTGAGTATAGTGAATTAATTGTATGTCATTTCGCTATTCCACTTTTTTGTGACTTGAACAATTTTGATTGTGTGTAAGCAAATATGTTTTCATAGGCTCTCCATGCTATATTCTTCGATGAGATTAGCAGTATTGGTAAATAAAATAAATAAAACGCACAAAGTATGAAACAGTCAACGAAATATAAAATACCAATTTTCAAATTCATGACGATCTCTTGTGCATTGACCCGTTGGCGACTGTGGCGTAGTCAAGGGGTGGTGAACCAAGCCCGTTCCCCTCCCCCGTTTGTTTTTTTTTTGTTTTTTGTTTTTTTGCCATGGCACGCAGTGCCAGATAGATGACCGTTTGCCTGTTCGGCTCCTACTTCAGCTCAAAGAGGTGCCCCATATACCCTCCCAAAACAAATTCTGCCTAAGGCTCTGGGTCCGCGATAGCCGCGGTTAGGAGACTAACTGTGGTTATGTCTGCCGTGTAACTGTGGCTATCTCTGTAACTGTGGTTAGCCGTAGTGTTTGTGCGACGGATTATTGAGGTTTCGTCGAAACAGAGGATAACGAGAAACCGAGCCAACCTAGGTAAAAAATCAAAAGCTTTTTTTTTTTCTCCACAAGAAAAAAAATCGACGTTTCGCGCCTCACTCACCTTCTATTTAAAGGTTTTGTTGCTGCTAAGGGGTCACGCCTGTTATCCATGATGTGGCTCTAGAACGGCAGTGCACCTGGTCACGCCTATTGTCTGTGAAGCTTTCGATCGACAGTGCACCTGTAGACCAGCCAAGTTACCGGCTGTCTCCTGGATGGGCCAGCGTTCCAAAAAAAAGGCTGTTCTTAAATTGCGCTATAAATCTAGGATGCCGAAATTGCACAATTTCATTCGGTGGTCGTTCAACACGCTGTGCTCAGTGAGTGTACTGCTTTGTCACGTGATTTTGCCGACACCGGTTTTATGTTGCCGTAGGCTCTGAAAGAAGTAACTTGCTTCTGCCACATACGAAGCATGAAAATCAGCACATGGTGTGGAGTAAACCAGTCCATGCGCTTTACTTCCGTGCAGCCTGTCTTTTGGGCACGGAAAGGCACAGGGGCCAGCAATCCGCCTGCGACAGTCAACTTCCATGAAAAGTATGTTTTTACAGTCTTTCATGGTGGATTCCGCAGCTTTTTTCAAGCTTGTGGAGATTGCTCAAAAGTGCTGACGAGGAGTCGGCGCGTTTCAGGAATTTATATCCGCAATATTAAATAAACGTGATTATACCCACGCTTTCTTTGTCCGTCAAAGCCGGCGGGCAGACCACTGTCTCACGTTGTGACAACAAAATTCATTGGGGTGAGCTTTGGGAAAACGGCACCTACAAAAGGGAAAATTTCCGAGCAAGGACACCGTACATTACCGAAAAATTGTAACGTAAGTACGTTACCCGTTACAGTTACAAAATTGTAACGAGTGCGTTAATAAGTTACCGAAAATAATAACGCGTTACCAGTAAAGACATTACTTGTAACGCGTTGCCACCAACACTGAATGTATTAACGAGACTCCTTGCGTTAGGAGTAGCACCTGTACAGACGTTTTTTTTTTTTTTTTTCGTTTTGTGGGCGCCGCCTTCTTGCTAGCGGGCGTCCTTTTTATGGTCTGGCAACCCAAGTGGCATGCGGGAAGCTCGGTGTTTGCATAGAAGGCTGCAGTTTTATTCTTCTTTCTTCGTTTTTACGCGGTTAGTTTCGACTGAAGTGATGCAGGCTCTTTAGAAATTGAGTCAATGAGACGCTCTGACAAGGTTAAAGTCGTTGAAGGTCAATTTTTTCATTATGCAGTACCACAAATGAGTCCACCTTTGTTGATGCACCGACTTTATGCTCGAAGAATGCGCAGTATTTTCAGGTCTTTCTTTTCCAGAATAAGCAACAGCTCTTCGACAGCATAGTGAATATTTTTTTTGAGGTGTCGTCATCCGCCTTTCTAAAAAGATTTCTTTACGCCATGCCATCACATCGGCTACCGTTCTTGCATAAAGCCGTGCGTTGGAGTGTAGTGGCTCGTCTTTATTTCTTGGCACTGACGGTTTTTGTTAACTGCGCACTAACTGCTGTGTAACTTGTTTCTCAACTCTGAAAGAGTGACCGTAGGTGTGCACTTGAATACAGCTCTTACATCAAACGACGCTGACGTGCCTGCAGGCCACCTTTTTATCTTTTTTTTAATCGCGATTTTTCAGTGACTCTTGGTGCCGCGGTACTTTGACCGACGATAGAAAGAAATGTTACGTGGGGCTGTTTATTGGGGAAATATTGTAATAATTGGAATAGCTGTATAGGCTGCGTACCTTTCGTTCATAGCCGAGGTTGAGCATCAGTGTCGAAGTCGTTGCGGTTCGTTCGCCTGAGAAGTGCTCTGAACGTACTCGAGAACTCGCGGAAGGTGCAAAGTTTTTCCGGTTTGAGTTTTCAAGCCACAGAAGTTGCTGCTCTTTGTTAACAGAAAAACGATGCAATTTCAAGAGTCCACAGCCACAAAAACTCCGCGTCTGGTGATGCACATGGCATATTTCTTCCGACAGCACTTTCTTTTTTCTGTAGTTGTTACTGCACCCAAAAACAGGGCAGTGGTTTCCTGATGGCCAATTCTTGGCCTTCCTAGCAATGAAGAAGAACAAAATTTAAAGGTTGGCTTAATTTGTCAATATGGCAATACACGGCAAAGTGCTCGATAACGCCACGCATACCAGCATCAACACACACACTCCAAGCCGTCGCCCGCATGCCAGAGAGGAGGAATGCGTTGGTTGCCAGACCAGACCTCCTCACCCGATGCAAAGGTCTATAGAGTACTTTTTTTTATTGATATGTGGGGTTTAACGCCCTAAAACCACCATTTGATTATGAGAGCCGCCGTAGTGGAGGGTTCCGGAAATTTCGACCACCTGGGGTTCTTTAACGTGCACCCAAATCTGAGCCCACGGGCCTACAACCTTTCCGCCTCCATCGGAAATGCAGCCGCCGCAGCCGGGATTTGAACCCGCGACCTGCGGGTCAGCAGCCGAGTACCTTAGCCACTAGACCACCGCGGCGGGGCATAGAGTACTTTTTTGAAACAGCCTGAAGCACGAATGTGGTTCTCCGGAATAACATCTGCTTTCAACGCAGTGGGGCCGACTTGGATTCTGGCTCGGACGCATGATTTCTATTTTTTGCATTGCTTGCGATTTCACGCTCAGGGACAGCGCCGATGTTTTTTCTGACAACCAATGATGCCGGCATCGACACACAAGGTTTTGCGAAACAAGCAGTTGAAAGCTGTATTGTTAAAAATTAAAACGCCGACATCTCTGCAGGCAAATATATTAGCGCAGTCACATACTTTGACCCCAGCTGCTTGCGCCCGAAGGCGAAGTAACAGAAGTGAATGCGTCATCAGGTAAACACGATAAAAGTCGGGCTGTCAATAAATGTTTCTTTCAGAAGCACACGTTCTACAAATTATAGAAAAGCCATGCACCGGTCTATTATCTTTCTTTACATGAGTATCTATTATGAAAACTCTGGTGCTTGCACGTTTTTCATTAACTTTATTAACATTTATAAACACGGGAGGATAAGATGTGCAAGAGTCGGCTGTCTCAAAATAAGAAAATCAGGTACCATGAATGCGCAAGATGCATGACACGCTAGCAGCATGATGAAATCACCTAAAATTCATGTTCATATCAGCTCACTGACACCACAACTGCAAAGTCAAATGCAAATCAGAGGAAATGTCGTGTGTTGCGTAGCAGAATACAATGCTCTGTTACGAGTGCCAACAAAAAAAAAAACAAGCATTCTTTATAGAAAATATTCCTCAGCCTCAGGCGTAATCTTCAGGAACTTGTAGACACAGATAAGATGGACGTTCTGCTAACTACCTGTAATGCTGTAACATGTTTTTAATAAAAAGTATTGTGTAGACGTGATTTGATTATCCTCGCGTCCTCGTTTAGAACTGGCGAACGAAATCTACGTTCTGTTACAAGTGAACACTGGCAGTAAGTATTTCATAAGATCAAGCCGGACACTGTTGGGCTCCTTCGTTGAACCTAACTCTGAGACCCCAGATGGCGATGTCTACACTTTGAAATCGATGAAAATTGCGGTCTGTTGTCAATATGAGATTACCTGAAGGACAAAAAAAGAAGCAATAAAAGTAATGTCGTATTTGGCTTTGCCTGCCAATAATTGCATTTGTACTTGCCTAACGTAATCTGTTTTCACATTTCTTAATACATTCAGATGGTGGTGGTCATCGTGGTCACGTTCTTCGCTGCCTGGACCCCGTACGCTGTGCTCTGTCTGTGGGCCGTGTTTGCCAAGTCTTCGACCGTGCCACATCTCGTTGCGGTGGTGCCACCGCTGTTTTGCAAGACGGCCAGCGCGATCAACCCATTCATCTACTTCGTCAGCAACCCTCGCATCCGGACCGACATACACGCGCTGCTCACCTGCCAATGCAAGAGCCTCGGCAGGCGCAGCTGTGCCATCGAAGAGGACTACTGTTAGTGGGCGCCTCGAAGAAGCTGCTGCTGCTGCAGCCTGTCCACTATAGGGGCACTGGTGCGCATGCTGATCTGATGATTCCGCCGTGATATATGGGGACAACCTTATAGAGGTGGCAGAGGAAATGGGTACTCTTCACACAATATGGTCCAGCGCAGACAGCGGACAAATTACTACTTATTTTGCTTGACGGCGTCTCACCCGATCATCATTGAGAGCTTACATTAAGGCGAGTAGCTGTAATAAACTAATACCAACATTCATTAGAACAAAACAGTTATACACGGTCTGGACAGTTGCCTTCTGTATATGTAAACGTAGTTGCACGGATCAAGTATTTTACTCAGTATAGTTCAAAGGTTTGGAGAATAGCTTGTATAAATTGATTAGTCGGTATTTTTCTAAATCTCTATTTTCTCACTCACACTTCAGGGGAATCAATCTTAGACCTTTCGGTTAGTCTCACACGCTTTGTCACAATTTTCTTCTCATACGGTGTACTGCTTTCTGCTATACTCGGGCCCAAGTGAGGCGCGTCATTGAAATCCCTAGCTTCGTCTATAAGACCGAATAGAATTAAAAAGTGTTTGATTGATATGTGAGGTTTAACGTCCCAAAACCACCACATGATTATGAGAGACGCCGTAGTGGAGGGCTCCGGAAATTTCGACCACCTGGGGTTCTTTAACGTGCACCCAAATCTGAGCACATGGGCCTACAACATTTCCGCCTCCATCGGAAATGCAGCCGCCGCTGCCGGGATCCGATCCCGCGACCTGCGGGTCAGCAGCCGAGTACCTTAGCCTCTAGACCACCGCGGCGGGGCTAGAATGAAAAAGTAAATAAAATGCATGAAAGAAGAATAATTCTACTGTTTTATGTGCCAAAATCACAATGCGGCTGCAAGGCACATCTTAGGCAGCTACTCTACGCCAATTTTAAGCAACTGAGGTCTTTCAACGTGTATACAATTAGCGTTGTTGCATTTCGCCCCCATCGAAATGAGGCCACCAATAATGTCCCGGTATTCCATGCTTGAGATGCGGTGTCCCTGCCGCAGAGCCACCGAAGTGGTTAACGCACGTGTGTTAAAAAGTTTCGCACTGAATTTATAATAGTTGAACATTAACAGTAGACCAATTAGTACGTCAGACCCTGCTGAAACTGAGGACCTTCGAGTGCTATGAATGTACCTTACAATGCTTTGCTCTTTAGAGATAACTACACCTTCATGAGCTCTGAGTCAACTCAAAATATCAAGGATCAAGTGTGATTGCACCGCTTTTTTTTTAAGCTCCTTGTTTAAAAATTTTGGTCAGCTTAAGGGAAAACATTTCTGTTATGCAGCATTTAATTGGTTTCAACATAGACACTGAAAGTAAGTCCTGCAGCAAGCACTAATTGAACACAGTCGCCCTGCGTAAAACAGAAAAAAAAGGACAGCAATAAACGTATGAGGTACACATTTACATTCATTCTGTTTCTCCTTTATTGCGTCATCGTAGTGAGCAGTTGCATGTAATTTGTGACTACAGTGCTGTATATTTTAATGTGTCAGTGAGAATAATTTCAGTAGCCTAGTAATAGATTGAGAATGTTTCTCATTTGTGGCAGCTGTCGGCAGTTGGCAAGTTATCTTTAGTCCTTCTTTCTTTTCACTCTTTTGTTGTCGCTATAAAATTAACTTACTGGTAGTCTTGTAAATCTAAGATCACTAAAGAAGCTAAACACATATAGCCACAGATCATGTGACTTACGAGCATCAACTTTTCGTTTCTTCAGGTGTTCAGCGCGTGATTGTGGCACGGCCGATAGCTTAATGTGACAGCGGGACTTCTTTTCCGTCTTCACATGAAACAAGTGTATACGCACAGAGCTCATGAGTGATCAAAATTATTTCTGATAACCTCGGGACACCGTATCTTATAGCCTAGCTGCAGTAATTTCAGGGTTTCCGGAAACCCTAACATATAAACATCAAAAGTTACATCGACGCCAGTGGTTGGCCTGTTCATCAACTCTCCCAATTCGAAACCGCAGAAATTGTTTAGAAAAAAGCGCTGACTTCTTGTAATAAGCACATCGCGCTCGGCCATTTCGCTTGCAGAAGAAATGCAGATAGCTATATACTGAGATGTTCGTTAGTGCGTGCCGCAACTATGGCACAAAGAGCACTAGTTGCTCTTTTTCGCTTCTGGAAGATCACGTGGTTGCTTGCGCTTCGCGCGCTGCCAGCACCGGCAATCTGAGGGCTTCGTCCATCTGTATCATTGTGGCATGAGATGAGAATCCTGTGATGGTGCTGCCATACAGTGCCCTGCCCTGCCATCAACTAAAAAACAAACTTTGGGTAGAGCCTGATTCTCGTTTCATGAGAAAGCGTAACTACATGGTCACGTGTGTGGAGCACGTTGCCGGATATTTGTCACCGAAACCGTGAATTACTTCGTTGCAACAGTTACTAGGAGTTTTGTGCAGTCTATTTCGTAAACGAACACATGCTATCAGCGCGCTCGAGCAGCACACAGATAAAGAGGCTATTTTTCCAGTCAGGTAGTATTTTATTCGCGTCTACGGACTGTTCAGAAAAGTTAAGGTCGTTGAAAAACAGCCTGCGGACTACAATCATTGGTTTTTGCATCCCTTTTGATGCGTCTTGGACAACCTTTTGAAAAAAGGCACACATTACACCACACCCTGTTTTTTTTAATCGTGCCAAAAGAGATTTGCAGATGTCTTTGATTCAAGAAAAGATCTTATGATCTACTATACACTCTTCTTATTTGTTTGCTGCTATCTTGGCTGTTGTTAAGATAGCGGATAAATGTCACTATAACACTTATCTGTTAGGATGGAATTAGAATACCTGTTGGAATGATGTGTGAACAAAATACACCAGCAAGAACACGTAGCACCAACTGTACGACTGCTGTCGCAATAGGTTATCAGTGATTGTGCAGACTGCTTTAATTGTCTTCATTGTTAACGTCGTTATATGAACGTCGGTTCTTATCATATTCTTACACTATTTGGCGCAAAGGTTTGAATAGTCTACAATGGTAGGGGGTATCATGACCTTCACGCTTTCATTTAAAGTGATCAATTTAGGTACCAAAAGTGCACATTTTTGTTTTGTATATGAGCCTTCTATCTGAGAGAAAATTATTTTAAATGCTTCACGTACCTCCAACAAAAGAACCTTCTCTGTCATTTTAAGCTTACATGTTTGTCTAACTCCTGAAACTGGCACCGTGTTACTTACATTAGAGATAACATAGGAACAACTGGTGATTTGTAGACGACCGTGCCGAATATTTGACGCATTGGTAGCTCTCCACGATGGCTGCTATACTCCTCATGTTGCTTAGATACCCTGAATATTTCTGAGCCGTAGCTATAGCTACTGCAGCAATCGAGGTTCATGTCCCTTCTTTTTTTACTAGTGATATTGTTCATTTGTCAGAAATGCTTGCTAGTGCACGCAGCATTCTATTTTTCATAGTCCGAAATACAGAACTTAAATTTATCGGAAGATTACTACCACTTGGGGAAATTGGTGGCACTTACTCAATTATTTATCGACCCACAAGTTGTTGACGATAATACACGAACACACAGGAGCAGTAGGGTAATTTTGGTCTGCGCGAACCAAAGCGCGGCTCCTCTATTGAAGCCCCTGCTTTTTGTCTGTCTCACTGTGATTTAATCTAAAGCGCTGAACGAATGTTTCAGTCCACACAATAGTGCGTAACCGCGCAGCCTTATCAAAAACACTCACCGCTCTTCAATAGAATCACTCATGATTCATGAACCGACAAAAACTTTAAAATCACAGTTCAAAACGATGCGGTACATTCTGCATATTCCGCATCTAAATATGTGAGCTGTCTATTCACTTCGTTTTGAGTTAAAGAAACATTAGGTCTCGTCACAAACTACATTGTGCAAACAATGTTCCTCTTGCTTTTTTTTTTTTTGTAGCCTTGGTGTCGTCACACAAACTGCGCAAATGCAATATCGGAGAGCGATGCTGTGTTGTTTGTTTCTTATAACTATATTTTTACGTACATTTTTAATATTCAAAGAATTTTGATTTAAATACACATTCTGGTCGTTTTGAAGTTAGTGCCGTAGTAATATGAAGAATTTGGCTCCGCATGTGTGAAATCATGTGAAATTGCAGTGTACACAAATACCTTTCAAACCATATCACACTGTTCAGCAGTTTTTTTTCCTCGCAACGTTTCTTTCGTTCTCATGTCACACCACACCAGCACTAATGTTAACACTCATTTTACTGTAAATTACAGCAGATACATAGAGAGTTTCTGGCTATTTTATGATGTTCCAGATTTAAAACAGCAAGAGAACTATTTCTGGATACAGCATTTACTATTTTTGACAGCGATACGTGACGACTCGTCCGTCTTTTGCATAGTGTTTTATTGAGGTATTGTGAATGGTATTCGACATTCTATAATAAAAGAGTGGGAACAAATTGATCTATGTGATGTTTTTCTCCCTTTACGGTGTGTTGTTATATGCTTCATTGTAGTGAGGTCACGTAACTAAAAACAAGTAAAGCTAAAAGTTGCACTGTACTTATATATTTACGTGCATTCTACATACAGAGTGTCTCAGGTAACGTTATCCAGAGTTTAAAAATATGCCGGCACACGCGATTACGACGCGAACAAATGCATGTCGCTCACCGTTGCCTGGACTATTTTTGTGTTCTCAAATATTGGTTGATTAGATAAGTTTAATTAAATAACTTTTCAAGAAACGAAGACAGATAAAAAAATTTAATGAGAAAGTTGTGGATCGTTTTTCAAACCGTCCTATTTGACAGTTTTCAACTTTATATTTTTTCGGTATTAGTGTTTCTCTGCTAATTGCAAATGCCCACGAATTTCAAAAAATACCACGTGACAAACCCGCTCGTGCACTAGTGCGCACAATGATTCTAGTGCTCCCTAACGTTCCGCGTACGAACAACCATA